ACAGGAGGCAGAAATGGGCCAGGCGAAGAGGGAGCAGAAAGGGGAGTTATTTTAGGGAAAAGGGGCCCTCCAGCTGAGGCTGTGGGTAAGGAGGAGTAAATTTTAATGAAAGCAGCTCGGAATTGTTGTAGTGCAGTGTCTGAGGGGAGAGCAGTAAGCAGAGGGCTGGGCCCATCCAGGGATCAGACTGACCCAGGCCCCAGGCTCAGGCCTCTCCCAGCCTCCCCCTCCTGCTACAGGAACCCCCGTAGGGTGCAGGGAACAGAAGCATTTCTGCACTCACCCACAGAGCAGGGCTCATTGTCACCTGGGAGGCTGGCATGGCCTCTTTCTGGAGATGAATCTTGAGAAAGCTGCAGTATCACTCTCTCCTGGCTCCCAGAACCCAGCAAGCATATAATTGGTTAGGTTTTTTTCCATTCTCCATTTAAAATTTAATCTCTACTTTAAACTTTTAAATCTATTTTTACAAATCAGTAAAGCATTTTTAAATTGGTTTTGAGATGATTTAGTTGAAGGGGGACAGGGTCTTGCTATGTACTTCTGGCTGGCCTGGAACTCACTATTTAAAGCCCAGGCTGCCCTTGAGCTTGCAGCAATTACAGGGATTACAGACATGCACCAACATGCCCAGTTTGAGATGATTATTTTGGAATATTTTAGAAGGGCAGCTTGGCATGGTGGCATATACTTGTAATCCCAGCACTCAGTAGGCTGAGGCAGGAGGATCACCATGAGTTCAAGGCTGGCCTGGGATACACAGTGAGTTCCAGGCCAACCTGAACTACATAGCGAAATCCTGTCTCAAAAACACCCCAAAAATTTTATTGAGAAACTACCTGTTTTAAAGGAGTTTGAGGGTTAGGGATCTAGCTCCATGATGGAGCACTTGCCTAGCATGAGTGAGGACCTGGTTTAAATCCCAGTGCCACAAAAGAAAATAAAAGGTTTTTGTATATGTTGCAAAATCATTCTTCAGAAAGGCTGAGCAGAATCATATGCCAATTTGCTGTATACAACAATTGTGGCCAGTAAGTTGCCAGAAGTTGTTTTTTCTAAAGTTCATCACCTAAAATATATCATCATGGTGCTGCTTTCATTTGAATTTTTAATGATTAACAAGTTTGTGCATTTTTCATGTTTATTTGCTATTGGCATCATATTTATTTTTATGGATTTTCTTTAGCTTCCTTTTTCTACTTATTTTCTTTTACTATAAAGAAGAAAATAAAATTTAGTCAGAGACCAACAATTAGGACCTAGCATGTGTGAAGCCCTGGGTTTGCTGTCCAGCACCTCAAAAAAAAAATTTTTTTTTAAACGTACACCTAGAATCCCAGTACTCGGGAGGCTGAGGCAGGAGGATCACTGTGAGTTCGAGACCACCCTGGGCTACATAGTGAGTTCCAGGTCAGTCTCAACTACATAGTGAGACCCTGTCTCAAAAAACAAAACAAACAGAAAAACCCCAAATACCCACAATTAACTGTTATAAGCATTTTTTGTAGAGAGAGTAGAAAGAAAGGTCACATATTTAGAAAACCAAAAGAAGATCATGCTGTACATAATTTTGTTTGTAAGTACTGAGGCTCAATGCAGAGTCTTTGCACTGAGGTGTACAACTTTTATTTCAAGAAAGGTTCTTGTTACATTTCTCAATTGCAGGGCTGGGGATTTAGCTCAGTGACTCCTCTGCCTGCTTCACAAGCGCTAGAGTTCAATCCCTGGTATCAAAAAAAAAAGAGAAGGGTTTATACATCTCTTAATTGCCCATGCTGGACTTGAATTTGTAATCCTCTTGCCTCAACCTCCCAGAATTCTAGGATTATAGGTATGTGTCATCATACCCAGCTTCTTTGTAGCCTTATAGATTGTTGTATATTATACAGCAGTAATTTCCCTATGTTTTTTAGGTGTTTTAAAAACATTATTTATTTATTTATTTATTTATTTTGGTACCGGGGATCCCACTTGGGTCCTTGTGTGCATTGCGATGCAGGTGGTGGAACCACTGAGCTAAATCCCTGGCCCAAAAACATTTTTTTTGTTTTTTGTTTTTTGGTTTTTTGAGACAGGGTCTCACTATGTAGTTGAGACTGACCTGGAAAACTCACTATGTAGTCCAGGCTGGTCTCGAACTCACAGCGATCCTCCTGCCTCAGCCTCCCGAGTGCTGGACCAAAAACATTATTTCAATATCTGCACAAATGTACTTATACCACAATTTACTTACTAATTGCCTTGATTTGTATGAGAAGTCTGGCGTGAGGAAGGAAGTCACTGCTTGAGCTACAGCTGACCTGCACTGTGCTGATTTGGACAACCAAGGTTCCTTTCAATCTTTGCTTTCATAAGGAACAGAGTAATAAACATCTTTATCCTCAAATTCTTTTGTTTTTCATTATCATGCCCAGGATAAGTTCCTAGACTAGCACCTAGCAGAGAGTAAAAAACTTATGAATGTTTGCTGTTCCAGAACTGTGTCTCTCAGCTAATGTCATATTTGATTACACAGTACACACTTGGACGCAAGGCTATCATTGAAGATGTAGAAATTAGAACGCAAAATTTCTCATCAAAATGTCTCCCCGGGATGTCTGGGTCAGAGCAGCTGGCTAGCCGGGAAGGTGGTTAATGCAACCCCGGTTAATTAACAAGAGAAGGATTCCTCTGTGGTTTGCATCCCAGCAGAGGACAGCAAGAACCTCGCGCTGGAGACGGATTCAGGCTTCACTGCGGTTTTCTTTCAGAACTTTGAAAGTCACAGTCCGGTGAACAGAGACAGGGGGCTGTTCTGACCCAGGCCGGGCCACTGAGCCGCTGCGTCTGCAGTTCCCAGCCACACCCCCCCACCCCGCACACGCCTGCTCTGATGCTGATGCCGAAGAATCAGCTCGCACAATCTCATATAGATTGTTGTATATTATACAGCAGTAATTTCCCTATGTTTTTTAGGTGTTTTAAAAACATTATTTATTTATTTATTTATTTATTTTGGTACCGGGGATCCCACTTGGGTCCTTGTGTGCATTGCGATGCAGGTGGTGGAACCACTGAGCTAAATCCCTGGCCCAAAAACATTTTTTTTGTTTTTTGTTTTTTGGTTTTTTGAGACAGGGTCTCACTATGTAGTTGAGACTGACCTGGAAAACTCACTATGTAGTCCAGGCTGGTCTCGAACTCACAGCGATCCTCCTGCCTCAGCCTCCCGAGTGCTGGACCAAAAACATTATTTCAATATCTGCACAAATGTACTTATACCACAATTTACTTACTAATTGCCTTGATTTGTATGAGAAGTCTGGCGTGAGGAAGGAAGTCACTGCTTGAGCTACAGCTGACCTGCACTGTGCTGATTTGGACAACCAAGGTTCCTTTCAATCTTTGCTTTCATAAGGAACAGAGTAATAAACATCTTTATCCTCAAATTCTTTTGTTTTTCATTATCATGCCCAGGATAAGTTCCTAGACTAGCACCTAGCAGAGAGTAAAAAACTTATGAATGTTTGCTGTTCCAGAACTGTGTCTCTCAGCTAATGTCATATTTGATTACACAGTACACACTTGGACGCAAGGCTATCATTGAAGATGTAGAAATTAGAACGCAAAATTTCTCATCAAAATGTCTCCCCGGGATGTCTGGGTCAGAGCAGCTGGCTAGCCGGGAAGGTGGTTAATGCAACCCCGGTTAATTAACAAGAGAAGGATTCCTCTGTGGTTTGCATCCCAGCAGAGGACAGCAAGAACCTCGCGCTGGAGACGGATTCAGGCTTCACTGCGGTTTTCTTTCAGAACTTTGAAAGTCACAGTCCGGTGAACAGAGACAGGGGGCTGTTCTGACCCAGGCCGGGCCACTGAGCCGCTGCGTCTGCAGTTCCCAGCCACACCCCCCCACCCCGCACACGCCTGCTCTGATGCTGATGCCGAAGAATCAGCTCGCACAATCTCTCCGGAAAATGACTGATGGGTGACAGTGACTCTCCACTGTGACCAGCCACTCTGCTGCTTTGAATCCAGATGACAAAAATGCCAGCTCAAGAGGGCAAAGAAATGGGTACAGGAAGAACTGTTCCTACATTGTTTGGGGAAAGAATAAGCAAATGACGCTTTACCCAGCCATAGAGTCTATATGGACATTGAAAGAATAAGGTGGGTCTGTATGTGCTGAGATAAAAGTGAAATCCTACATGAGACTCCATTTTGCAAAACAACAAGAACACTCTGCGTGGGGATTCACATGTGCGTGCACACATGCAAGTTCTAAGGGTATAAGAAAGATCTATCCAGCAAGATGCACATCTAACCTCTGAGGAGAAAACTGTGCATGTGTGTGTGTGTGTGTGTAAAGAAGTTCTTTCACTTTGTACCAGGAGAATCATGGATTATTTTAATGTTTACAGGTAGATATTAATCTTGTAGTTAAAAGGAAAATTTAAAAAACCCTTTACAAAGCTGGCTTATGACTACCTTTTTATCTATGGCTCACACAGCTTCCTGACCATAAACCGTGTTTCCTTTTTAAGCCTATCACCATCCATTATGTGGTTTGATTGTCACAACAAGCCCACGATAGAGTCCATCATTACCACTTCCGGCTCACATATCAAGTAACTTGGAGTCGTGAATTCTGGTCTTTATCAAATTTACAAAGAAAAAAAAAATCATAACCGATGTTAGCACAAATGCTAGGAGCCAGGCAACTCACATTTTGCTGGTAGGAGCATAAACCTGCCCAAGCCTTCTAGGAGCAATTTGACGATATGTATTAGAATTCTTTAAAATCTGCATACCCTTTATCTAGCAATTTCTTTTCTAGAAATTGATCCCAAGGACATAATTAAGGATGTGCACAGAGTTTCAGCCACAAAGATAATCATTTGGAAGATGCTTATGATTCTGAAAAATTGGAAACCACTTAAATGTCCAAGAATAGAAAATTACTTAAATAAATTATGGTCCATTCATATGAGAGAATACTACAAAGTCATTAAACAGTGGTGAAAAGGCATATTTAATGACAGGGTGCACAGTTCATGGTGCATTTTTAAAAACAGGTCACAAGTGCTACATATTACACGAGGCCATTTTTGCTGGAAGGGAGAAAGAGAGAGAGAGAGAGAAAAAAAATATAGTATTACGCACAGGCAAAGGCTGGAAGAAAGCACCCCAAAATGTGAGTGTGCAGGTCCCTAAATGCCCTCTGACCCTTGAGGCCTTGCTGCTGGCTGGAGGTTCATTCTGTTAGTGGCATTTGCCTCGCTACTCTCTTGGCTCTGTCCCAATGCCCCTAGCACCCTGTGGCTTGCCTTGCTGGGACCACTGGCCTCTTTGGAGATCCCCTCCTGTTCTCACTGAAGCTCTGGGAAATGACCAAGGCCACTTCCCTTCAGCCCCAAGCCAGTCGGCCGCAGTAAAGCGGAGGGTGAGGAGAAGCATAGCTGAAGTGTGCTAAGCACTTGCTTTTAGCTAGGCACTCGACAGTCTCCTGGAACCTGCAAAAGGAATAATAACCACAGCCAGACTTTATCACATCCTGTGTTTTGTGCCAGCCCCTGGGTTCCACAGGGCACACTGCCACCCTGCCCAGAGTATGAGGGAGAGACTCAGGGAGGTAAAGCGACTTGTGCAAGGTCACAGAGCTAGGAAAGAAGGCGCGGCGCTTCATTCGTCGCCAGGCCTTGTCTGGTCTGGTGTCCGAATCCCTACCCTGTTGCTGCTCCTCCTGCAAGCACCTATGGCCTAGGGATGCCGCATGAGAAAGCAGGTTCAGCAAGGTTAACTTACACTTCAAGGTCACTTTGGCCCAGCAGCAGAAGGGTCTGGAAGCTTAGCAGTGAGCAGATGCTGATCTGGGCAAGGGAACAGATGAACAGCAGGCTCACAAAAGGAGAATTCAGTGTGGGTGAGGCACAGAGCCCGCCCGGGGGGCAGGGACCCAGGTCCGGGCTCTAGTCCTGGCCCAAGTGCATGCTGGAAAGAGTCTTTCCAGGCTCCCCCCACCCAGAAACCCTGCCTGCTGACCTGGGATAGCCTGGCCATCTCTAGATGCTACCTGCCTCTGTCCTGAGGCTCAGCGACCATGCTGCACTGTTGTCAAGGCGTCAGATAAGCCAGGGCTGTCCCTGTTCATCTTCCAAGACCTGAGCTGCTGGATCCATCTGCAACAAGATAAAAACTGCAGCTGCCGGAGGCAGCAAGGTGAAGCCAGGGCCCCAAGGATTTTTGGCTCTGGTTGCTAACTGGCCCCGGGACTTTGGATGCATCACTTTCCCTCCTGATGCCCTAATGGCTTCCCTAGGGGCTGTGGAGCGATGGTTTGTGTGGGAAAGTGTTTTGAGAACTAGAGTCAAGAATAGCTGGCGGGCGCCACTTTAGAAAACAGTCTGGCAGATCCGCCCAAAGTTAAACATAGCATTACCATATGATCCTGCATTGGCATTGACGCTCCTAGGTGCACGTCTGAAAGAAATGAAAACATATGGCCACGCAAAAGCTTTCACATGCACGTTCATTCCCAACAGCATTATATGTAAGGGTCAAAGAGTGGAAACAACCACATGTCCTTCAAGTGACCAAGGGGCAAACAAAACATGGTCTCTCCACACCATGGAATACTATTCAGCCACAAAAAGGGCCGCGGTACTGAGCCGCGCTGCTACACGGGTGACCCTTGTGAACAACCTGCTAAAGAGAAAAGCTGGACACCGAAGGTCACAAGCACATGATTCCACTTCTATGAAACGTCCAGATCAGGAGAAGCATAGACACGGCAGGCAGATTTGTGGTTGCCCTGAGCAGGGAGAGTTGGAGGGAGGCATGACTAACAGGCAAAAGGTTTCTTTCAGGGTACGGAAAATGTTCCGCAAATGGTGGTGATTGGGTTGCAAATATATCAAAGAATTCGATGGTATGAGCCTGTTTTTGTGTGTGCTAGGAATCGAGTCCAGGGCCTCAAACGTGCAGGGCAAGCGCTTTGCCATTGAGTACACCATGAGTGCAAAATTTTTTCTAAAAAGGGAGAGGAGCTCAGGCGTACTTAGTGCCTCCTCCAGGTTTGGTGCTAACCTCTTGTGCATTCCTTATTTAATCCCCATAACAACTTTCTAAGAGAAGAATGAATGCTCATTGTTCCTATTTGCTAAATGGGGAAACTGGGGCAGGAAGGGGCGATGATTTCTTCAAGGTTGCACAGCTCCAGTGCTGTACAAATGCATAGTCAAGACAGGCGTGGCAGTGCATGCCTGTGATCCCAGCACTCGGGAGGCTGAGGCAGGAAGAGTCCCCTGACTAATTCCCTGACTCCAGGGCACACAGCTCTAGGCCGGGTTCATAGACTTTGGTTGAACAGACACGGCCCTGAACTGTCTTTACCCTCTCGACTGGTTTGCAGACAAATTGACTTTTCACAAAAGCACAGCATCCGCTGTGAAATCCTAAGGCTGCCAGAGGCTGCCTCACACCCTCCCTGAGGTTGCCCAGACGGGAGGCAAGAACTACCTCAAATCGAGACAAAGTGCATTTGTGGTTTTGAAAGAAAGTTGTTAGAAGACAAAGTCTGCCTTCCAAGGCAAAGGTTGCTTCAATTCCGTTTACTTAAAGTAGAAAGATGACAATCCCTGCCCTGATGGGTCCGGGCTGCCTTGCAGGAAGGAGGGTTTTTGTCGAGCATCCACTGCTAACCACAGGAGAGAGCAGACAGGAGGTGGCCTAGAGCCAAAGCAAACACTCCGAAAGCAGAGATAATGGGAGAAGGTGGGAGGAATGAGAATTAGTTTGGAGACCAAGCAGGAAACAGGTCTGAAAGGAAGGGTGGGAAGGCAGGAAGTGTCCAGAGAGCTTCTAGGGTGGTTGGGGGGGTCTGTGAGCAACCCCACTGGCTGGGTCTCAGCCCTCCTGACCAAGCCTCCTCTGGGCCTCCCTGCACTGGGCCGCGCCTCCTCTGGGTCACCCTGCATTTGAGCCCAGGGCATGCTTCTTACACGGAGGCTCCTGTCCCTCTGATGTTCTAAACCCTTCCATGGCTCCCCATTGCCTAGAGCATTCCAGGCACCTGTGTCCGAAAGCTGGCCCCACCCCAGACCTCCTTGTCCTTTCGGCTCTCAGTCCCACCTCTCTGTGATGCCACCCTGGGATCCAGGGCACCAATTTTTTTCCCCCTTCTTTTTCTATTTTATAGTGTTAGGGACTGAACACAGAGCCCTGGGCATGATAGACAAGTGTTCTGCCACTAAGTACCCTCCAGCCCCAGGCAACAAAGTTCTTATTCTTGCCTAAATGAACTCCGCACTCCCCTTCTTCCTCTTTTTCTTTCTCCTATTCTTCCTCTTCTTTTTCCTTTTTTGTGGTACTGGGGACTGAACCCAGGACCCTCACACTAACTATATTCCCAGCCCTTTTAGAAACAAGTTGTTTTTATTTTTGTTTTGTTTTTTGACACAGGGTCTTGCTAAGTTGCTAAGTTTCCCAGGTTAGGCTTTAGTTTGTGATCCTCCTGCCTCAGCCTCCCGGAGTGCTGGGGATTATAGGCATGTGCCACCATGAATGCTAATGTCTTCCTTTTCAACATTTTTTACTTTTCACTGATATGTCTTAATACCGTCTCAAATAATATTTTCTTGTTCTGTTTGTTTTTTGAGACAGGGTCTTGCTATGTAATCCAGGGTGGCCTTGAACTCGCTTTGATCCTCCTGCCTCAGCCAGAGAAGATTTTCTGCACTTTGCAATGTCTGGCCAACACTGGCTGTGGGCTCAAGAACTGCTGGGGAAATGGGTCAAGAGGCAGAAGTTGGCTAACGGAGGGGCTGTGCACCCTGAGTGGCTTGGTCAGCTGTGGCACAGCTCAATGTCCCAGGTGGGGCACACAGGCACCTCGGGAAGCAGAGCCTGACAAAAACCTGGGGGTCCAAATGGCAGATTGGGGGGCGAGTAGCAGCATGAGCTGCATTCAAGAGCAGGCCCCACCCTGCCGGGAACCCCATGAGGGGAAAGGATGCAGGTTGTTTGCCATCAGCTGAGGGCAGCTCCTGTACCCGCTCCTGGACACCAGTGGCCTGGCCTGGGCTCCCGCCGACGGACCCTGCAGTCTGACGGTTGCAGATGCCTGTGGCAGGTTCTGGATGAGCGGGATGGTTCAGGTAAAGCGGTGATAGGGCTTCTAAGCTTGTCAGAATGAATGGTACACTCCTCTGGCATCTGTGCTGTCCTCCAACCTCTTCTGGGCTTCTTCTCCACTAGCATCGAGCTTCTACACATCCTGCAAGGCCCACTGCAACGTTTTCTTCTAGGTTTCTCCAGACCCATAGGCCGCCCTCTCTTGTCCCCTGCGCAGCATCTCCCCACATCCCACCCTCTGCTGTCCCCCGGTGCAGTAGCCACCTGTGGTCTGGTCTGCCTGTCCCCTGGCTGTGGGGTCTCTGTCTGGTTCATATTGTCTTTAGCACTCGCAGACAGGAGGTGCCCTGGGAGTGTTTGCTGAGGGAACAATTGAATGAATAAGCAATGACAATATCAAATATTTATTGAGCGCTTACTATGTGCCAGACGCGGCTCGACCTCCTTCACACGTGATGTTGGCATCTTTAATCGACACGGCGGCCTCGGAGTAGGTGCGGTGACCCTTGGAGAATTACTCATGAGGCACTCAAGGCACTTGCCCCTGCCCTAAGTGGCCAAGGACAGGATGACTAGGGGGGCCCTGCTCCTGCAAGCAGGTTGACCGAAGACTCTGCTTGGGATAGGATACAGAGAAAGGAAAGAACCTGGGCTCGGGAAAACCCGACGGTGCTGGGGTCAGCGAGATGGAGCTGCGGGGGAGCTGTGAGGAGCAGACTCGGAGGCTGCGGGGCGTCCGTCCCACGGCCCTGGGAGGGCAGCACGGACCACAGCCTCTCCCAGGGACACAGCCCCTTCCGGGTTCCTAGGCTGTTTCTTTCCCACAATCCCTTGTTCCCCGGCGACCCCGTAGCATCGGAAGGGGCGGGGTTAGAGGAGTCCGCCCCGAGGAAGGTCGCAAACCGCAGGCTGAGAAGTCCACATTGGGGCTGTCAGACCCCAAGTGCTGCACTCTTCCCACTGTCTCTCAGCTCTTAGCGCAGGTCGGCTTTCTTTCAGGAATGCAGCCGTTATAGGGGAGAGAGAGCCAACGTCTTAGGAGCAGGGGATCTTTACCCTCTTTTCAAAGTTGAAAAAACTGAGCCCCAGAGAGGTTAATAAACTCAGCCAAAGACACACAGCAAGGGATTAGAGGGCTGGGAAGGAGACTTAGGCTAGTAAGGCCCCAAAGCAAAAGAGTTTGGCAGGCAGATAGAAAAGTGGGTGTTGTAGGGATTTCTAACTAGGATTTGCCAGGAGTCTACAAGCATTTACTTACATCTACTCCCCCGGATGCAGCTCAAGCCTAGTGATCGCTGACCCCAAAGAGCAGGCGTACACTGCCTGCGAGAGCCGCAGCTCCGACCGACAGTTCACCCCGAGCAGGCCGGCGTGAGGCACCCAGACTAGGGAAAGGAGGACGCTCGCTGCGGCTGTGGCCGGTGGCGGCAGAGTAGTCTGGCTGCAGACACGGGGATCCCCAGCAGTGAGACCTCGAGAGGTGCCAGGGCTCCCGCAGCTCCCCGCTGGGGCTTCACAGCAAGCCCGGCCTCAGGGAGTCATCTCAAAGGACAAGCAAGGGTTTTGTCAGCCCCTGGAATCTCGACCGTTTCATAAAATTTCACTGGGCCTCCGGGGAAGGAGCGAGCCAGATCCAACAAGGGCAGAGGCGCAGAGCAGGGAGCAGCGGAGAAGCGGTCTCTTAAAATGCGAGGCCGGAAGCGCTAAGATAAATTCCGTGATAGAGGAAACATCCGCTCAGAGAGGAGAGGGATTTTACAGAATCACGGGGCAGGTTTAGGGGTGTTTTTCTAAGTAACGGGAAAATGAACTTGCAGCGACTGTTTTAGCGAGCTTTTAAGGCGAGCAGGAATTTTCCTTATTACATTAGAAAGACTTGGAATGAACCAGGAATCCACCATGTAGTTAGGGCGGAATGCACAAAGCAAATACCAACGATGTTTAAGAATTAAAGTCCAAAGGTTACAGTTTTTCCTGCCTGTGCAGATTTTTCCAAACACATTCGTTTCCATGATATCACATGATCTGCACAATCCTATTATGGCAAAAATGTGGCAAGCACAGCACTTCTTAAAAAAAACATATCTGCCCTGAAATATAACTTACAGACCATACAGCTCACGTATTCAGGGTTTTTTGTGTGTTTTGTTTTTTTTTTTTTTTTTAGACAGGGTCTCACTATGTAGTTGAGACTGCCCTGGGACTCACTATGTAGCCTAGGCTGGTCTCAACCTCACAGCGATCCTCCTCCCCCAGCCTCCGGAGGGCTGGGATTACAGGCATGCACCACCACGCCCGGCTACTTCACATACTTAAAGTGTGCTATTTGTTGGGTTTTGTTATGTTCACAGACTTGTTCTGATTTCATGATTTTTTTTTTTTTTTTTGTGTTTTGTTTTTTTTTTTTTTTTTTTTTTTTTTTTTTTTTAGACAGGGTCTCACTATGTAGTTGAGACTGCCCTGGGACTCACTATGTAGCCTAGGCTGGTCTCAAACTCACAGCGATCCTCCTGCCTCAGCCTCCGGAGTGCTGGGATTACAGGCATGCACCACCACGCCCGGCTACTTCACATACTTAAAGTGTGCTATTTGTTGGGTTTTGTTATGTTCACAGACTTGTTCTGATTTCATGATTTTTTTTTTTTCTTTGAGACAGGGTCTCACTACACAGTTCAGGCTGGCTTTGAACTCACTATGGATCCCAGGCTGGCTTTGAACTCATGGTGACCCTCAGCCTCCAAGTGCTGGGATTACAGGCATGTGGCGTCTACCCTGTTTCATAACATTTTCAAACAACAAAAACTGTCCTCATTAGCAGTTCTCCCAGTATCCTCTTTCCTCCAAACTTCTGGCTACCACAAATCCTCTTTCTGTCTGTCTGGGTTTCTCGATTACAAACATTTTATATAAATGAAGCCCTATGACACATGGTATTACGGGTTGAATTATATCCTCCCACCAAATTCATGTTTAAGTCCTAACACCCAGGATCTCCAAATGTGACCTTATTTGAAAATAGGATCATTATACATGCACTTTGTTAATTTAAGGACATTAGGATGGGCTCTAAGCGAGTCCAACTAACTGTTGTCCTTAATAAAAGGGGAACTTTAGGTGCAGAGATTCCTAGACAGGGAGAACACGCTGCCTATGGGTACAGGCTGCAGGGAGATAAGCCCATAAGCCAGGAAAGCCGGAGATGGGGCGCTGGAAACCAGGTGCAGGCCTGGAACAGCCTCTTCCTTTCTCAGAAGGAACCAGCAGCCCTGCTGATACTTTGAGCTTGGATGACTTGCCCCTAAACTGGGAGGCAGTAAGTTTCTTTTATTTAGGCCACTGTCTTGGTCGCTTTCCTGATCACTGAGACACAATACCCACACCTACAATTTAAAGGAGGAGAGGTTTATTGTAGCTCACATTTCAGCCCATAGTCAGCTGGCTCCAAGGCAGGACAGCATGCCAGAGGGGCTGTGTGGACCCAAAACAGAGTCAAGAGAGGAGCTAGGGAAGGAGATAGACCCTTCTGAGACACACACCTTCCGAGCCACGCCCTTCCAGGCCTCGCCCCATACCCTTAGTGACCCACCTCTTCCCACTAGACCCTAACAAGTCAGCTGTAAGCCCCCATAATCTAGTCACCTTCCAAAAACCTTGCCTATGAACATGAGGCTTTGGGAGACATCTACATAAAAATCATAACCACTATCCAGTTTGTGGGGCTTGGCTGTGGCATGCAATCTTTTGTGTCTGGCTTCTTTCACTTAGCGTAATGTTTTCAAGGTTCATCTGTGTTGGAGCATGAATCAGTGTTTCATCCCTTTTTATGGCCAAATAATATTCCACGGTGTGGATGCCATGTATATTTATCCACTCATCAGTTCATTGAGTAGCTTCTAGATTTGGTCTTTTTGTTTTTGTTTTTTGCTGTTTTGAGGCAGGGTCTCTCTATGCAGTTCAGGCTGGCCTTAAACCCAGTCTATAACCCAGGCTGATCTGGAACTTGTAGTGATCCTCCTGCCTCAGCCTCCCAAGTGCTGGGATGACAGACCAGTTTAGTTTGGGCTTTTAAGAAATGCTTCTGTAAAAATTCATGCACACATTTAAAAAAAATTTTTTTTTTGGTACCAGGGATCGAACTCTAGTCCTTGTGCTTGTGAGGCCAGCGGTGGAACCACTGAGCTAAATCCCCAGCCCATGCACGCATTTTTGTGTGGCCACATGTCTTCATCGCCTTTGGATGCAAAACTACAAGTCTGCTTTACAGATGTGCACAAGGCCCCAAGAGGTGAATTGAACTGCCCCTCTAGCCTAGATCTGTTTGATTTCAAATTCAGAGATCTTTCAGCTCTCCCCCCCCATTTCCACACCTGTAAATTCACACACACACACACACACACACACACACGCACACGCACACACACACACGTATCGCTCTGCCACAACACATACTTCTTTGAGCCCATTTCTCTTCGAAGAGTGCAAAAGTTCAACAGAAGCAATCAAACAGAAGTGGCCTGGTGCTGAGAGAGATAAATGAGACTTCCAAAAAATAAATAAGTCAGGACATTGATTTGAGTATTACCAAGGGATAGAACCAAAAACTTTTAAAGGAGCAGAAAGAAGTTGGTGAAAAGCAAATGGCCCGAATTTGGCCTTCAGCAGTGTTCACACAACTTCCATTGATTGCGACAGGGTTTCTGGAAACCATCGTGCTTTACCAGCAGCACCGGGCAGCGCGGACGTGAGGGATACGGGTGTGAAGGCAGCAGCCCTCACATCTCCCAACGCTCACTTCAGCCCAGCCTCCTGGCCCGGCTCTCGGGGAGCAGGAAGATTCAGTCTCAACATTTCCCTGAGCCAGCGAGATCAGTAGCTATTCTGAGAGGCCGGCCTCAGAGGGGAAGCGCCAGGAATCAGAAAGAAAGCAGTCAAGCCCTCCCTCGGTCAGAGCCCATGTGTGAGCCCTGCATCTTTGAGCCCTTGAGTCTTCGAAAAAGACGAAATAGGCAACACCTTGGTCAACAACAAAGTCTGTGAGAGTTAAAACCTGACCCAAGACAACGTAATTTGGGGTGAAAGGAGAAAAGGAGCATTCATACTAGTGTGAGTTTCAGCCGTTCACTGCACACATGAGGATTTTTGAACACTTTGTGGCAGTCACTCGGAATGTGCTCTTCTTTAGCCCCTCACCTACATTTTTTTGCAGCCTTTCTTTTCCCCCCTCAGTACTGAGGATTGAACCCAGGACCTTAGCACTAAACTATAATCCCAGCCGTATGTCTTCTCCTCCTTTTTTTTCCTCTCCCTCTCCCTTTTCTTCTTTTGTGGTACTAGGAGTTGAGGAGTTGAACCAAGTGGTGCTCTACCAGTGAGCTACATCCCCAACCCTTTATATAGAGAGATTTGTTTTGTTGGTACTGGGGATTGAACTCAGGACCTCCAGCTTGCGAGATAGGCAGCAGAACCATTGAGTTTAATCCCCGGCCCAACATTTTTTTTGCATTTTGATTTTACAGGGTCTCACTACGAACTTGAAATCCTCCTGCCTCAGCCTCCTGGAGTGCTGGGATTACAGGTGTGTGCCACCAGGGTAAGCTGTTTCTCCCACTCTCCCTTCCTTCCTTCCCATGGCTCCCTGGATGCACTGGGTAAAAGTGTTACCTACTGTCCCCCTCTGAGCTGCTCTGAGTGATCACAGGTGCAGACCTTGCCCACACCATGGCTTATCTCTGGTCAGGGCTGCTGGCTCTCAGAGGATACACCTCTGGGGCTCCTGCCCCCAAGATCCCTGCTTCCTCCTCACCTTCTCTGAGAGTAGAGGTTTAAACTCCTCCAGCTCCCTCTCTGCTGGGTCAGCCCTGTCCCCAAAGCCTGGGGCCTGACCTGGAGCAGAGAGTACTCAGATCACTTGCTGGCTCACCACAAGCCCTCCACTCAAATTGACTGAGATTGTCATTCATGTACCGTAAAATTCACCCTTTGAGAGTGTAATATTCAGGCGGGGTGTGGCGGCACATGCCTGCGATCCCAGGACTCTGGGAGGCTGAGGCAGAAGGATCCCCAGTTGGAGCTCAGCCCGAGCAATTTAGCAGCTTAGTGTGGCTGTGTCTCAGAATAAAACATAAAAAAAGGGCTGGGGGTGGGGCTGTATAAAAAGGCCCTGGGCTCAATCTCCGAAATCAGTCAATCCAATAAAAGCAGGACAATTCAGAGGTACATTCAGAGTAGTTTGACCATCAACTCTACTTCCTGAACATCTTCTTTACCTTAAAAGAAACCCATCCCACCAGTGGTCACTCCCCTTGCCCTACTCCCCCCAGTCGCAGAGCTATTCAGCTGCTTTGCATGGATTTGCCTGTGCTGGACATAATGTAAGTGGCCCCCTTCAACACATGCTCTGTTGTGCCTGCCTTCTTCCTGAGTCTCCTCCACACCCATCCGTGTCGTGGCATGTCTGGCTACTTTGTTCCTTTTCGTAGCCAACTAATATTCCATCGTACAGATATACCAGGTACGTTTATCCACTGCATGGATGCTTAGGTTCTGTGTTCTTTTTTTGGCTATTATGAAAAGTGCTTCCGTGCAAATGTGTACACAAGTTTTTGCGTGAATGTATGTTTTCATTTCCCAGGAGTATATGCCTCAGAGTGGAATTCCTGGGTTACATAGAAAATAGGTGTTTAACCTTTTTCTTTTTCATTACTGGAGCTTGAGCCCAGGAGCCTCTCACAGAGATACAATTGCAGTCCTTTATGTTTTATTTCAAGTCAAGGTCTCACTAAGTTGCTGAGGCTGGGCTTGAACTTGCAGTCTTCTTGCCTCAGTTTCCCAGGGCACTGGGATTATAGGCAATGTGCCCTTGTACTGTCATACGCCGAACGTCTTGGAGAGGTCCTAAACTGGTTTCAAAAGGCGTTTGCCACGTCACATTCCACTGTGTCGGAGGACACCAATTTCCCCATATCGCCAGCAGCACATACTCGCAAATTCGGTTGCAGCCAGAATCATGGAAAGAATTAAGTTTGTGAACCGAGGCACCACTGTGCTTGACGTTGTCTGTCTTGTTTTCTCCATCCTAGAGAGGGTGGATGGATGTACGGGTGGTGGGCAGGCTGGTGCTAGACAGGCAGGTGGACGGAGAGAGGGTGGGTGGTGGGTGGAGGGGTAGATGCCGTGTGGCGTATGGACACATTTCATTCAATTGCCGGTTTTCAGTCCTTATGAAACGCTTCCTGGAGATTGTGGATTACGTCGGGTGCTTAGGAAATGTCAGAGAAGGAGCAGACATAGCAGCCCCTAGGAGTGTTTGCAGCTGAGCCGGGGAGACACAAATCATGCAGGGCAAAGGGGTCACTTGTGAAGCCACATCCGCTTCTTCCCAGGGTACTTCTGAGAGGGAGACGACTGTCTTTAGTCCATTTGTGTTCTACAGCAAAATGCCCAAGACTGTGTAGTTTCTAAGTATTTTATTTTAAGCTGGGCCTGGTGGCGCACGTCTGTAATCCCAGCACCTGGGAGCCTGAGGCAGGAGGATTGCTGTGAGTTCGAGACCAGCCTGAGCTACATAGTGAGTTCCAGGTCAGTCTCAACTACATAGTGAGACCCTGTCTCGAAAAACCAAAAAATAAATTTTTTTTTAATTGTGTTTTGTTTGCTTTGTTTTGTTTTGTTTTTTGGAGACAGGGTCTTGCTATGCATCTCAGGCTGGCCTGGAACTCGCAGTAACCCTCCTGCCTCAGCCTCCTGCGTGCTGCCAGGATGGTATATGTGCGCCCCCATGCCCGTCAGGCTCACTTTATAACACCAGCTCCTTGGCTGCGAGTTTCCTCTCTCAGGAGCCGCACTGGCCCTCAGGAGAGCAGCGTTTGAGATCCTGACCCCTCCCGCACTATTACAGCGGGCCGAGCCTCAGCCTGAACTGGGCGGGGATGAGTCATCACAGAGGCCAGCAGGACTCTCGGGGGCTGGAAGAGAAGGACCCAGATAGGAAGCCGCAAGGGTGAGTGTCGTCCCTTAGAAAGAAGCCCGGGAACTGGACGCCCTCAAGGCATTGGAATACCGGGGACAGACAGTCACAGTCTGGACTCAGGAGACCCGAGTCCTTGTCCTCTCTCTGACTTCGAATCCCTGGGCGACTGGGCTGCTTGCTAACAACACTGTCCGCACTCTGATTTCTTGTCCATAGGACGATGAATTTGAGCTAGAAGGCACAAGGCCCTTTGATGTGGCCGAGTTGGTAAAAGTGTTGAAGCTTTAGCAAGATGAGCGTAGAAGCACCTTTTTAGAGCTCACGACAGGCAGAATGATCTAGAAGAAAAAGCAAAGTCCTCAGAGTTAGATGGCCCTGGATCCTCATCCCGGCTGCACCCGTTATCCGACCCAGTGCTGGGCAGTCTCTTAACTTTCCAGGTCCAATCTCCTTCATTAGCAAATGAGGCTATTGGTATCTGTATGCAATCCTGGCTGCTCGGGAGGCTGAGGCAGGAGGAGGTTCACAAGTTTGAGGACCACAGGGGCAACACAGGGAGTCCCTGTCTCAGAATGGGAGATGCAGCTCAGTGCAAAGGTATCTCCTGGGTTGTTTCTTCTCCCAGGGCCCCTGGGTGTGGCGGCTCTCAGCAAAACTCTCCTCCCTCCTGCACAGCCGGAGAGACTGTAGGGGCGGATATGCTCTGCAAAACGTAATGGGCTGTACCCACACAAAATAATATTAATTATTGATAACATTAACAAGGCCATTATTTCGTCTGCTTGTGGAAGTTTTGCTTCCCTAGAACTTGTTGGCAGGAGGCATTGGATCCCAGAGGCCATGGTCCCCCACCAGGGAGGTGCTGAGACCCCCATTGCCCTCTAGCCTCTCCCATTTGTGTAGTTTCCAGACGCCTCGGAACCTGCTTCTCTGTTCTCACGGGGTCCAGGGCCTCCATCACAAAGCTCACGGAAGAACCAGGTGTGGCAGCTCATGCTTGCAATCCCACAACTCAGGAGGCTGAGGCAGGAGGATCGCCACGAGTTCAAGGCCAGCCCGGACTACATAGCAAGACGCTGACTCAAAAAAAAAAAAAAAAAAAAAAAAAAAAAAAAAAA